CAGTTTCAGCAGCGGCTGACGCCAGTTCCGACTTACATACAGATTCAACTTAAGAACAAACCTACAGTCCCTATCTTGTACGTAACCCGGGGACTGCCTGTACTCTGCTGACACCATCATTGGGCCTAACCATGTCAGTTACAAGATCAAGAACACGTATTCCTGCTCCTCCAGAAATATAACTTATGCCATCATGTGCCAACAGTGTCCGTGCATCAGACACTTTGCCAAAGAATCAATACACATAAAACAGACAGTTTCACAAAGAAAAAACAGTTTCTTGCCATTTCAATCAGCCTGGGCATTGTCTCAATGACCTGACTACCTGCAACCTGCTTCAAAGCGAGGCTTTAACACAAGATTTCAAAGAAGCCTCTGAACTGTCATGTTTAAACTTAACTTTGACACTTTACGAATGGAGCTTAACAAAGATGCTAATTATCTCACCCATTAAAAAGATAGCTTCCCCAGTTTTCACCTCTAATATCATTACCTGATAGACATTAACCTCCCCCCCCTCATTCCTCCTCTGTTCTAAAATCTGATTTGTCTATTTTATGTGTGTTCACTTTTTTTGTTTGTATCCCTTTGGTATATATGGTCATGCCAATTTTCTTCCACAATTTGATCCGAGGAAGTGGGTCTGGTCCATGAAATCCCATTACCTAATAAAACATCTTGTTAGACTTTAAAGTGCTGCATAGTCCTGTCTTTTGTTTCAGTAAGGAGACGCTATAGGTATTCAACCCCTCGGAAGAAGACATGGCAGTTTTGGGGTATGGACAGACAGCCTAGTTTTTTAGCAGACTCAGAGCCCAGTCCCTGCATCAAAAAGGTAGCAGGGACTGAACAGAGTCCTGGAGACAAGCATGTGAAAAAAAGGGTCCCTGAAGAGGAATGGGTTGACCCAGCATGTACGAGACAGAAGTTTTACATTGTGTTCAGATCATAGAATCATAGAATACTAGGACTGGAAGGGACCTCGAAAGGTCATCGAGTCCAGTCCCCTGTCCTTATGGCAGGACCAAATACTGTCTAGACCATCCCTGATAGACATTTATCTAACCTACTCTTAAATATCTCCACAGATGGATATTCCACACTAGTGGGGTAGTGTAGACATACCCTTAGAGAGCAAGAAGCCAATGCATTTTTCGAAATGTCAGTCTACAAAGTCACTTAGAAGAATGTCAAAATGGGCCTTCTCTGTCTCTCAAACTAAACATTCTGCAATTAGAAATTAGTTAACAACCCTATCTGTGGCATGCATCCAGAGAAAATTCAGGTGACTTGCATCTGCCTTATGCATGTGGCAGCTACCAGTGGGCAGCCTCTGAGAACACAGTTGCTTTGGTAGCCATGTTGTCCTGGAGGGAGGGAAGCACTCCTTAAACTCAAGTGATTTCACAGAAATGCCACAGATCTACAGGATATCTTGACATTCCTCACTGTAGCATAAAAGCTACTCCCTCGCCGGAAGGGCAGATGACAACCATGCTCCTGACAGGATGAATCCATAGAATTTAAGATATTTTTTCATGGGGGAAAGGATAATTTGTCCCTAATATTTTCTGAGTAGTGTAAACATAAGGAACATGAATATGTCCTTATCCTGTGCAATGCTCTTTCTACACTGAGAATGTAAACCCAATAAGTAAGAGACAGTCAACATTTATATTTAACACGACCTTATAACATTCTGACAGCTCAAAAGGTCAATGTCTGTATATGTTCTAAACAGTTTTAATGTATTTTTCCAACAGATATTTGCAGTACTCCCTTAACAATTCATTTTCGAATACCACAGTCATAATCATTTCAAATGTAGCCGCTACTGCAATTGGCCACCGCATTGCATGGGAATTTGTAACAGAAAACTGGCTACTTTTAAATGAAAGGTATGGCAAGTAATCAAATGGTGTCATTCATCTTTATTTCTGTAGCTGTTTTTCTGATTCTCTTCTGTACCTTAAGTTTGAGTTGTAGAGCACTATTGCAGATGTTCCACTTCAGAGGCACCAGCATTTCCATTGTGGTTTAAATGACTTCTATATACAAAGGCTAGAATGATCAGAGACTCAGCTTCAGTTAAGGCACCAAAATAAGTGGTTGTGTTTTTAAAGAGCCCAACAGAAGTGGTGGGAGGCTCAGAGCCAGACACCTCCACCCTCAGCCCACTCCTGCACCCTACCTCTCACCCAGACTTCCCACTCTCAGTCCATTCCTGCACCTGTAAGTTACACTGGGTGCCTTACCAACCTTCCACCCAAACCCCCCACCTCCAGACTGCTCCTGTACCCTACCTTGCACCCCTGCCTCCTGCACCCATTTTGTCATCATGGGTGGTTGGCTGGTGGTCCTTAGATAGGTTTGTATTGATCAGGTAGGCCATGTGCCAAAAAGTTTGAGAACCACTGCCATAGAGAAATATTTTACAGGAGAATTACTTATAAACTACACTGTTCATTCTGCATAAAAATCTGCCTCACTAATTTTTACTCAGAATATTTCTTTAAATAAGGATGGTGGAGGGAGAGAACACAAAGACTATTAAATTTCCGTTTAGACAATAATTTCAGGATAATAATAGATGGTATATTTACCAGCATAATCAAAATGCTTCTCTTGCATTATATTACTCTACAGAAATAGAATATTGCTGCAGCTATTGAAAAGTATGGAAAATTTTGTCAATACAGATTTACAAATCCAAGAGGTAAGTCTCTTATATACCATCGGCTAAATAGCAGTGTGGATGTTGTGATTTCAGTGGAGACCAGAGCTAGCCTTCTGAGCTCAGACCCACAGGCTCCAAGCTTCAATATCTATTTTGCTATTTTTTTTTAGAGCACTAACTCAACCTAAGTGTATCTACATACTGAGGGGCTTGCTCCCACATGCAATGTGGACAAACCCTTAAAGTTCTGGTTCCAGCCTGGGGGAAATTTCCCCCCAGAACAAACACTGCGAAGATGGCCGGAAAGCTGTTTTTTCTTCTGAGTGATTGCTCATGTCCATTCCATGTAGGTGCATGCACATGCATCATCGGAAATTTTTTCCCTTAGCAATACCCATTGGGCCAGCAGGGGAGCCCCCTGGAGCTAATATATACCTCTGCTGGCCCTCCATCTCCTCAGTTCCTTCTTACTGCTTGTAGATCCTGCCTCTGCAAGCACTTCTTAGCAGTTCTTCTTGCTGTTTTAGTAGTTCATTGTTCTTATCTAGGTTTTTAGTAGCTGTTAAGCATTGTATTTAGTGTTACTTAAGCACCCAGGCATGGGGCTAGCTTCACTTTCCCTGTGCGTTCGGCAGGGCATGTCCGGGCCTCAAGGCTTCAAGCCCTGCAAGAAGTGCTAGAAGCCTATGTGCTGCAGGGACCCTCATGCAGCCTGCCTTAAGTGCCTTGCAGAGGCCCACTTGTCTGAGGCCTGTTAGATCTGCAAGGCCTTTAAGCTGCCTACCAAGTGGGAAAGGGAGTCTCGCTTGAAGATTATCATGATGGAGGCAGCCTTACTCCAGACACCGGCATCTGATCCGGCACTGGCAACCCAGAGCACACTGGCTTTGGTGCGGGAAGCACCCAGCCACTCGCGTGCCTCCCTAGCACCACACAGGCCTCGGCACCGGACGCAGTCCCCAGTGTCCCAGAAGAAGCAGGGGCAGGTATCCCTTGAGGCATGTGCCCTCAAGTAGGGCACACAGCACCGATGGGCATGGCACCCAGACCAGAATGCTCAGATTGGCACCACTCTAGTCTGCGCCGACACATCAGCCTGGTGGGGATCTTCCTGGAGCCTTCCACTCCAGATACCTTTGAGGCAGCAAGATATTTGATGAAGTTAACCTCTTCCCTGACCTCGGCACCAGACCTGGCCACAGAGTGAGGATCTTGACGGCACCACCCTGAGGCCTTGGTACCTCGTGCCCCAGCTCTGGAAGCAAGAGGGCCCCATGGCCCTGCCCCGATGCCAGTAGCCTCGACCCTAGTCCTGGGTGTGGCACTGCCTCTATCCTCAGCACCAGCAGTAGCCCCACCCTTTCCCATGCACCAACACTGGAGTCAGCACTGGCACAGGGACCAGCACAGGGGCCTCAAGCAGCACCGACCACTATGCGATCAATGAATTCTCCAGGGAAGACATAGCTGTTGGTAGTGCAGTGCTGCAATCAATGATTCTGAACTCCAACCCCACCTGCCATGACGTAGCAGCTTGGAAGTCACCTGATTAGAATTGACGTGAACAAGCACTCCAAGAAGAAAAGACAGTTACCTGTTGTTCACGTCCATTCCAATACCTACCCTTCATCCCCACTGTCAGAGTAGCTGGCAAGAAGGAACTGAGAGAGGGTAGGGTTGACTGTGGTAGATATGCGTTGATATGCGTTGATACAGCAGCGCCACTCTAGGGGTCTCCACAGCTGACCCTACGGGAGCTGTTGGGGGGGAAGTTTCTGACACTCATGCACATGGCGCACATACACCTGATTGGAATGGACATGAATGACACATCTTGAAGAACACCAGTTACAAGAACAGGTAACTGTCTTTTACTATAACCTAGGCTATGTCTTCCCTGCAACAAAGCTGTGTGTGTGGTGGGAGGGGGGAGGGAGTTATAGTAGGATGACTTGCTCTTTAGCTAGCCCAGTGTAAAATCTTCCTTGATGCAAGGCACTTAAATGTTTACCATGAGGAACTAGGCAATGTCAGCACTACACCCCGTCTCTGGTGAATTTTGCCTAGTTTACCAACTAGTAAGACTACAGTGCCTTGTCTGCACTAGGATTTTATAGCAGAAGAGCTGACATGCATTAGTTATCCTGTAGTAAAATGACACCTCTTTTGGCAAGCCTATAAGTTACACTGGGTGCCTTACCAACCCACAGACTTTCCCAAGATCAGGTGAGTACCAAAGTGCTTTAAAGCCATCTTAGCTGTACAACACAGACTCTCACCCCAGAACTGTACTGTCTCTAAGGCTAGATCTACATGAGGGAAGAAAGTCAATCTGAGATATGCAGCTCTTCCTGCTTCTGTCTTTAAGTGACTCAGTTTTCAGCAGTGGTGGGCATTCCCATTCTGAAAATCATTCTCTTTAAGGTATCCCAATCTGAGCCCTCAAAAACTCTTTTCACTTTTGAACACTTAGGACACAGTATAAGAGCTTTGCAGAGCAAGCACCTTCCTAAGCTCACGTTTTAAGGTCAAATTCTGACTCCATTGAAGTCAAAGGCAAAACTCCCATTGAGTTCAGAGATATCAGGATTACACCCTAAGGCTGTGTCTAGACTGGCAAGTTTTTCTTCAAAAGCAGCTGCTTTTGCGGAAAACCTTGCCAGCTGTCCACACTGCCCGCTTGAATTTCTGCAAGAATACTCACTTCCTACTGTCTGAAATCAGTGCTTCTTGCGGAAATACTACGCTGCTCCCATTTGGGCAAAAGGGCCAGTGTAGACAGCTCAGATTTGTTTTGCACAAAAAAGCCCCAATTGCAAAAATGGCGATCGGGGCTTTTTTGCGGAAAAGCGCGTCTAGATAGGCACGGACGCTTTTCCGCAAAAAGTGCTTTTGCGGAAAAGTGTCCGTGCCAATCTAGACGCTCTTTTCCGTAAATGCTTTTAACGGAAAAGTTTTCCGTTAAAAGCATTTGCGGAAAATCATGCCAGTTTAGACGTAGCCTAAATGTAAATTTAAACCCAAATCTAAAAAAACAAGCTCTTTTCTAGACATTTCTGTCTAAGACATCTGTAGAAAGTGCATTACATTTTTCCACTCAATGTATGCGGTAGACTAACTTTTATGTGGTTTTTTTTTTTTTTTTTTAGTTGCAGCTTTTTTATAATACTACACTGCACGAGGATCTAAGGATTTCTGCTACTGAAATGTTGCAGTTTGCAAAGTTTACAAATAAGGAAAGGAGAAAAGTCATAGCCCGATTTGCTGATTGGTTACGAAAAAATATAGATGACTGACTTCTGAAATCTGTTTCTTACCTGTATTAGAATGTCTTGCTAGCATTTTAATTCTGTTTCATGATTTAATAAAGAATTTAAACATTTGATTTCTAAACCAAAGATTCTAGCCATGAAGCCAGGCTGACGTGATTCACAATGGAAGGAGAAAATTCTACAGAAAAGATGCAATACAACTATTTGCATATTGCATCTATCTTTTTTCCAATTGTCATGATGCTTGAAAGACTTATTCTTAAATAAAGTCAAGAAAAATCTACAGAAACATTGGAGGAATCAGCTGTATGGTTAAAACACAGGCCTGAGAATTAGAAGAGTTGGGTTTTATTCTCTGTTCTGCCTCTGGCTTGTGGTGTGACTTTAGGCAAGTCATTTGATCACACTGAGCATCAGTTTTTGTATTTCTGAAATAAGAATAGGAAATAATACTTAATTTAAAGCAGTGTTATGGAATTTAAATTCATGAATGTTTGTGAAATGCTTTTTGGTCCTCAGAGGGAAAGCACTACAGGAATCAAAAACTTATTACATATTGGGTGCTTTTTCAGCTACACTTAATTCTTCATTAAAGAATTTGTAGAAGTTTCGCTTTATTCCTGCCTATTATTAGGTATAATAGAGATGACCTATAGCCAAGTTAAACTGAGGCCATTAACTTTAAAGCAAGTATATTAGCTTTTTGGCTAAAATGTATTAGTTTGTGGGTTTAGCAAATATGAACTCCTCAGACCATACAGTTTGTTCATTTGCACAATACATACATTATGAAAAAATGAAGTTGCACCACCTTTCCAGTAGTCAGAGAAAGTATATTATATTACCCTAGGGAAACGCATTGAGGAAGTAACAGGCAATGTTATAAAGGAAATAAAGAGCACAAAACAGAGCAATATCTAGGATTTCAAAATCAGAGTTTCCAAACTGGAAAATTCTTTGTTGAGTTCTAACTGCATATACAAGGAAACTGACAGGCTTAGCTTCAATGAAGGCCTATGTCTAAACTTGGAGCTTGGGGTTCAGTTCCCAGCCTGAGTGTGTACCTGTTGGTCTTGGGTATATACTCAGGGTGGGTAGCTCCTCCCCCACGGCTGGGGCTACACTCTATTTTTAGTACACTAACTGGATCAGAACTAGTGCAGGAGTGTCTCCTGGAGCTGGGAATCAGACCCCCAGCTCAAAGATCCTTAATCCCCTCTGCACATCTCCAGTGGTACAAAGTGTAATTAAAACTGCTGTCAGGCAGTACTGGGAGAGTCTGTCAACAGTGCAGTGGGGGAAGGGGGGGGGGGAGAGAGACATATTTACTGATGCAGCCTGCACTGTGCTAGCATAGGTGCTGGAACTAAGGGAGTGGGGGAGCTGCGGCATCGCCTGGCTTGAAGTGGTTTCCATTATATATAGGGTTTCCAGTTTAGTTCAATAGGCCTCAGCATCCCTACTATAAAAATTGTTCTAGCCCTCCTGTATGCTAGACACATGCTGGTTTCCCCAGCACTCATTCCAGGATGGGGAGGGATTGGGAATGGTGTGCAATCTGTTACATTGATGATGAACAGCAAAGCAGCTTCTTTCTGGCGTGACTTAGGGATACTTCAGATGGATGCAGGGACTGATTTGGCCCCCAAGAGCCTGCATGATTGACATGAAATGGAAAGATAATGGCATGACATGTATACCACCATCTCCACAATCTCATTTCAGGATTTATATACCTAACTTACAACACTCACTATATCCAAACCATTGTCTTTCCTAGCAATTTGTAACCATTCTCCCCTTTTCTTGTTTACAGAAATGTTAGGTTTTTTACTGAATAAAATATTTAATTAAAATTATCAATGTGTAAATATTTACAAAACAATTGTAAATAAGAAAATATTTAAAAATCACTATTGATTACTTGTGTGCTTCTTTAATAACATATTCTTTATATCCTTACAGCAACAATATAGTGATTGATTTTCCTAGGATTTATACCTGAGTCTAAACAGCCGGAAGACTCTAAAGTATCTGGTGCCTAATGTTGACAGCCACTCAAAGAAAGGGAAGGCGAAACTTTTACCTCTTGGTTCTGCTTCTTCTTGCTTGAGCCTATGCCTAGAGACTATAAAGCTCTATTGGAAAAAGGTACGCAAATTGCAAAGCGTAATTTGTGTATCTTTTTCCACTTTTCTTCTGAAAGAGGCATTTCCAACTATTGGACCGTCTACACTGGGCCAAATGTTGGAGAAAATGCCTCTTTCAGAACATCTCTTCTTCCTTGTAGAATGAGATTTACAGGGTTGCTGAAAAAACGCATCTGCTTTTCTGAAATTTTTCTGGGAAAAGCAGTCTCTGCAGTCTAGACTTACCCTGAGAATAGATAGTCAAAAACATGTCTTAAGAATGTATCCCTTTTCCAGCTAACTTTGTTTGAAATAACTGTAGAGGCACAATAGCAGGGAGAGAATTACTTATATTTGTTCAAAGATTAAAATAACAATATGGTCTCTCTAATACTAGCCCTGCCCTTTCAGCCTTCTGCCATAACCAATATCTTCTATGAAGCAAAGAGAAACCTAAATTACTGATTCCATTATGGACCCAGGCATGCTTACTTGCTCTTTATAGTTGTCCCAAACTCAACTTTTTGCATCTAGTCCATTTCTCAGATTTTACTGCAGTATTGTTTTACAAATGTAGACTACTAAGCTGCTGCTTTCTTCTCAGTGTCTCAGGGTATGTCTACACTACAGCACTAATTCGAACTAACTTAATTCGAATTAGTTAATTCGAACTAAGCTAATTCGAACTCGTGCATCTAGACCTAAAAACTAGTTCTAATTAGTGTTTTGCTAATTTGAACTAGCATGTCCACATTGAGTAGACCCTGAACCGAAGTTAAGGCTGACCGGAACCAGTGCCGGCAGAGCATCAGGTTAGGACTTAGAGCGTGGAGCTGCTGCCTCAGGCTAGCCGAGGGCTGTGCTTAAAGAGACCCGACCCCCACCCCGGACAGACAGTTCTTAGAGTTCCCTGCTTGCTTGTCTACCTCAATGAGGGATAGCAAAGCAGTCCTGACTTGGAGTGCTCTGAGTGCCCACACTCGGCACATCACAACACTCGGCCATCAGCCCGGCTGCACTTGCCGCAGGCTGCCATCCGGGGGGGGTGTCAATCGAGGGGCTGCAG